TGGACCACTATTCATCAAGTCGTTCAGTGACATTGGAGTGTAACGACTAGGATTTGTGGACCCGCCATCTTATTGAAGACGATTGGCAGATTGATGGACTATCAGAGGTAGATGTTAACGTGATAGAGGATTAACAAGGTTATGGACTATCAGAGGTAACTGTTAACGTGATAGTTTTGTGGATCTATCATCCTATTGAAGAGGATTGGCATGAGAATTTAGAGGGAATAGACTATCAGAGGTAATCATTAACATGATAGTTTTGGTGGACCCGTCATCCTATTGAAGAGGATTGGTAGATTAAATTTAGAGGAAATAGACTATCAGAGGTGATCATTAACATGATAGTTTTGGTGGACCCGTCATCCTATTGAAGAGGATTGATGGGTGAATTTAGGGAAAAAGGACTATCAGAGGTGTATTGTTAACTTGATAGTTTTGACAGATTTCGTGGTTGGCAGAGGTGTTCTATTGAACATGACAACTCAGAAAATTTATTACTCATAATCGAATGAACTACAAATAAACCAACCCCAAGTCTTGAACAAGTGCAGGGAAAAAAGGGTAGACATGGCACATCGCCTAGTGGGCTATTATCTAACGAGTTTGACTATCAGAGGTAATTATTAACGTGATAGTTATTGGACTTGCCATTCTACTGAAGAGGATTAGATTCAGTAGCTGTGGTATCTTCCTCTTCTGACTGAGAAGATTGGGCTTGGTCCGATTGCTCAGGTTGATCCTGCCTACTTTGTTCTTCAGCTTTGATCCTGACAATAATCTTTTGAGCCTGTTCGCCTTGAGAGATTAGTTGTCTCCAGGAACAACATTCTGCAACCCCTATTCGGACTAGGATGTCGGTTTGTAAATTGTGTCGACAGGTCTCCACTAAGGTAGACTGTGTCATACCTGTCGGACATCACAGAGCCATGTTTCGAAACCTTTTGACGAAGGTTTTGACAGACTCCCTCTTCTTCTGCTTAGTGGCGAGAAGGGTATGGATGGAGACTTCTGTATCCTCTTCAAAGAATCTTTACAGGAATAGTCTCTCTAGATCTGCCCACTTTTGGATACATCCGACAGGCAGTTTCCTGAACCATTCAAAGACAACTCCCTTGAGGGTGCTAATGAACAATCGAACCAGTATGACGTCGTTTGATATCACATTCCCAGTCTGTGACTTGAAATGATAGATATGTTGGTTCGGTGATCCCGTGCCGTCAAAAGTTTGTAACGTCGGGACCTCAAACTTTGGAGGATAAGGGGCTGCATCACATTCTGCAGGATTGGGCCTGGTAACTCCCTCATCTTGGAGCTCGCTTCTGTTAGCAATGGCATTGAGGTGGGCTTTCAATTCTTCTATTTTGGCAGACTAGAGATTTTGCTCGTTCTCCGTCTCTCTTCCTTCATCAGAGGAAGATTTCAGGTTGTGGGCTTCTCGATCAGAGGCAGCACCATCAACCACTTTTTCCTTCCCTTTGCTTGTGTGAAGTCGGGATGAAGATGTTCTTCCTCTTCGGGAAGATTCTTGCCTGGGTGGTGAATCTGTCTTCTGAGATTTGGCCTTGTCTACGACGATTTGAGTCAACAGGGCCAAAAGTTCATTAATGACCTCATGCTGAGATTTGAGCATGACCTCCTGTTCATCAAGTCTCTTTGCGAGATCTTCATGGTTTTCTGTCATATGGGTGGAGCTCTCATGTTCAACAAAGAAACTTGACGATTGAGACTCTGTAATGGCTGAGTGTTCATCCTCGGAATTAGTTCCTCTGGCTAAATTTCGATAGTTGATAGGGGGAATGGCTCCTGTTCGCGTCCGAGTGCGTTGGTAGATTCCTTCAAACTCGTTAGTGATTTCTCTGATGGTCGATGAACAACTTGTCTCAGAGTCATCAGAACTAGGACCTGAGGCTTTCCCTCTGCCGATCACATTAATAGTGACCCCAGGATATTTGGTCTCTGGAGACTTCTTCCTGTGATAACGTCGTCGTTGGTTGGGCAAAGCAACGTTCATAAATTGGTCGAACACCAACAGTTTGGCCGCATATGAGCAGCATTGACATCCCGAGAGGACCGTAGGAATCAGTCGTTCACATTGGAATGAACGAATGACTTGTTGCATCGGTCTTTCTCTCGATATGAACTTTCTCAAATCTGTTATGAAGATTCGAGGAGAACTACTCACTGATCGTGAGGTTTGAATTGTAACCCCCAGTTAATCGAGATTCATTATAATCGAGATTCACTGTAGTGAATCGAGATTCACTTCAGTTGTTTTTCTTCATCTCGAGCGTTATCGTTTTTGGGAATTATTGCTAATTAATTACAGTGTGTTTCGTGAAATAGAGTGTTTGACTGGCTAATTACAATGTGTTTCCTTAATGAATCTTTCCTAAATTACCCCTTTTACATTAATTTTGACAGCTGATGTGTATTTAATATGTATTTATTTTCAATTCTACCCTTTTCAATTCTGCCATTTTCAATTCTACCATTTTCAATTCACTGCAATGGATGAATCTCGATACACTATAATGAATCTAGATTCCCTATAATGAATCGAGATTCACTGAAGTAGTGAATCAAGATTCACTGTAGTGAATCGAGATTCACTTCACTTCAAATAGTCACTGATGCGAAAGAAACTTCATCCCTTCATATTCATTGTTTCACAGGCATGTCTCTTCATAAAATAGGGACAACAAACAACTAATGAATCCAAATTCACTGGAGTGAATCCAGATTCACTGGATTGAATCCAGATTCACTCCAGCGAATCCAGTTTCACTTCAGTAGCAGCACAACAGCACAGCAACAGCAACACAGCACAACAAGACCACCAACTTGTGAACAACAATTAAATAAATATTAATTCCAACTTGTGAACAATAATTAAATAAATATTAACTATATATGGCTCTCGATTCACTCCAATGAATCCAGATTCACTGAATTGAATCCAGATTCACTGGACTGAAACTCGTAATCAAACAATAACAAATCTACAAAAATAAAAAAACAAAAAGAATAAGAAACGCCGTGAACAAAAATTAACAAACAAGACAGTAATTTTTCTTTTTTTTAAGAGAAGATTTTCAGGGCGAGGGGCTTCGGCGTCGGCGACGGCCAGCTGGTCGAGGGGGCTTCGGCGTCGGCGAGCTCGTTGGGCTTCGTCGACGGCGTCGAGGGGCTTCGACCAGCTCGAAGCTGGTCGAGAACGACGTCGAGGGGCTTCGGCGTCGGCGTGGGCTCGTCGATGGTCTTCGACGGCGAGCTCGTCGAGGGACGTCGGGGCGTCGGCGTGAGCTGGAGCGTCGAAGTGAGCTGGAGCGCAGGGGAAGAGAGAGAAATGGGGAAGTGAAAGGACGTTTTTAGAGAAATGTGTTCTTACGTTTTTAGAGAAATGTGTTCTTCATTATCTCCAGTTTCCAATGTTGTCAGCCACCATTGTAGTGAATCGTTCCAATTTTACCATTTTCACATTATTTTTTACAACTGATGTCTATTAGATTTGTCTATATTTTCAATTCTGCCATCCAAATGTAGGCCATTGGATTAGATAGATTGGATGGTTTTTAAAAATTATATATATATATATATATATATATATAGGGTGAGGTTCTAATAAAAACCTCCTTAGCCTAAAAACTAAAAACCTATTTATTGCACTAATGCCATTAAAGAGTACAATAAATATCATTATTATACTAAGTACAATAAATAGGGGCAACAAACAACCAATGAATCCAGATTCATTGGATTGAATCCAGATTCAATCCAGCGAATCTAGTTTCACCTCACATAACTGAATCTGGATTCACTACAGTGAATCGAGATTCACTCCAATGAATCTGGATTCACTATAGTGAATCTAGATTCACTCATATATAGGGTGAGGATTTCCAGTTGAAAAAACGAAGACACGTATGGGTGAATCTCGATTCACTGCAGTGAATCCAGATTCAGTTATGTGAGGTGTTTGTTTTTTGAAGAATAATGGCATTTATTGCAGTGAATCTAGATTCAGTTATGTGAGGTGTTTGTTTTTTGAAGAATAATGGCATTTATTGCACTCTTTAATGACAAACAAATTTATTGCACTCTTTAATAATGGCATTTATTGCCATCACTGAATCTGGATTCACTGCAGTATAAGCTCTAATCTCAACCATTGGATGAGATAGATCCAATGACCCACAATGGTTTTTAGTTTTTAGACTAAGGAGGTTTTTATTAGAACCTCACCCTATATATATATATAAATATATATATAAGATATAAATATATAAATATATATATATAATATATTATATATATATATATTATTTAATAAATATATATATGTATATATATATAGTATATTATATATATATATATATATATATATAATATAATAATATATATATATATTATTCTAATATATATATATCATATATATATATAATATATATATATAATATGTATATATAATATATATATAATATATATATGTAAACACAGTATATATATATATATTATATGTAAATATATATATATGTATATAGTATATGTTATATATCTATATATATATATTATATATATCTATATATTATAATATATATATAATATATATATAATATATAATATATATAATAATATATAATTATATATATATAATATATATATATATACTATAGAGAGAGAGAGAGAGAGAGAGAGAGAGAAGAGCGATGAGTATACTTGGTACAAGACCAAGCACAAATTTTGTGCTTGGTAGTGATGTGTCACATCCTCATCCACTCACTACCCATGTGAATGTGGTCCCATATTTGAATGAGTGGAGGGGGATATGACACATCACTACCAAGCACAACTTTTTGTGCTTGGTACCAAGCATACCCATATTGCTCTATATATATAGATTTTGATAACCATATATGTATTATATGTATCCTAACAGACAGATATTTTTGTACACCCCTACCTCCTATATATCATATCATAAATTCATGAGAGCTGAATATGCAAACCCCTTTCCTCACATTCCAATTGAGACCAAGTAACATGATGAACAAATTGACATGAAACATATAGTTGAAGGTACAACAGCAAGAGAATAGACACATTCTCTTTTCTCCAATCCATCATCGTTGGTTTATCATAAATCACATGGCTTCACAAATTCACAAATTTAACAAACATCCATCAGGCAATCAAGTAACATCAAAACTCAGAAACTCGAAGCCATCCGTGTTTCCCCCCTTGTTAGCTCCAATCAAGTTAGCTCGTATCGACTACCAATCTTCCTCTGTTTCTCCGACGCCTTCTCCTCCTCTGTTCCGTTCTTAAACCTCTGCCTTCGCCAACCGATCTATACTCATCGTCTCCACCAGAGGTATACGCAATAGAAATAGAAGGATCAACATCCTCAGTAACTCTCTCAGCAATAATGCCATCCCCATGAGGATCCTGTTGAAGCCTCATCAGTCGAGCACCCTCCCGTAGAAAGAAATAAAGGATGCTCCTACTTATACCACGACCAACATTGCCACCCATAATCTCACCGTCCTCATCTGAGTCCTCTAGATCGCTATTCGCCATTTCTATCACGTAATCACCAAAGACTACTGATCGTGGCATTGATGACCTAATCGTGCTTATAACATCCTCCCGCTCCCTCTCATGCTCGAGCCGCCTCCATTTCTGCTCCATTGTGGGGTCCACCTCCCAGGGCTTTGCACAAGGGTGCACGGACCTGACATGTTTCTGGAGCTCTTTATAAGTGCCCGTGAAGGAGCAATTGTCCTGCATGCAACTCCGCTTCTTGGCATTGAGATACTCTCTCGCAGGTTCAACCACAGTCCATCCTTTGACCTGACCACGGCATAGAGGGCATGAAGCGAGCTCAATCACCTCGGACTTTTCAGTGCTAGGGTTAAGGTTAGGGTGTTCTGGCGTCTCGGGAACTCCCTTGTGGATTTTGGTGTAGGCCTTCTTGAATTGGTCAAGGCAGTTAGAGTAGCGGTAGCTGGTCCCACACATGTAAGGCCGGCAACCCTTGTCGTGAGAGGAGCAGAGAAGAAGCACAGCGTTGTGTGGGAATTCCATGCACACGGAGCACGTGGCATCCTCCCAATCCCTCCTCTCTAATGCCAAGGATGATGATATCCTCTTCGGACTGGCTTCATTTGTGATTTCCCAGCGGTGTGGACGAAGGGGATATGGAGTTGACCTGATGCAACGAGATAGAGATCTGCTGCGGCGACTCCTGACAGTTCTTTCCATTTTGTAGAGAAAACTAAAACAATCAAAAAGGAAAATTAGCCAGATATTTAACATAGGTTTCATTATACACATGTTATCAGTAAGTAAATACGAGGTAAATCAACTACCATTTTGCACCAAAATACCACAAACTTCTTTTATTGGAGAAAAACCATGAATTTTTAGGGGCTTTGCACAAAAACCATTATAAACTTTTTTATTAGAGAAAACTACTATGAACTTTCAAATAATAAGCTATTAAAAATTGTTGCTAACAGTGTTGAAAATTGGATTAGAAAGTCTAAAAGTATTCATGAAAATAGAAAGTGATTGCTTTGCACTTCCTGGTGACCTCCTTCTATTTCGTAGAGGTGACCCTTATGTTGTGAAGTGATTACCTGATTGCTTTACACATTTTAGTAATGTATCTGGTCTTCGTGCAAATCCATCTAAATGCTCTGTTTCTTATGGTAGAGTGGAGAATAAAGCACCAAATCAAAAGCATTCTTGGTTAGGAGGGTCTCTACCTATAAGATATCTTGGAACACCTATGATCAGTAAAAGGTTATCAAAAGTTGATTGTGCAGTGTTGGTTTCAAAATTACTCATAACATTCAAGGATGGCAGGCTAGACCTCTTTCATATGCAGAGAGGTTGCAATTAGTGAAGAGTATCATAATGGGGATTCATCTTTTCTGGTCAAGTACTTATATACTCCCAAAAGGAGTTCTTGTGAAGGTGGATTCTCTGTGCAGGAGGTTTTTATGGGGAGGTAGATTTGATTCTAACAAAGTGCCTTTAGTTGCATGGGAGATAATGTGCAGGAGTAAAAAAACATGGTGGTCTTGGCATTTTCTCGTCAATTTGTTGTAGTTTGGCTGCTGCTTTAAGCTTTTCTGGACTGCTTTTTATTATGAAAGACTCTTTATGGATCAAGTGGATTCATGGTGTTTATCTTAAAAGGTCTACTATTTGGGATATGCAAATAAAACCTCAAGACTCTTGGATGTGGAAACAATTCTTGAAGACAGGGAATAGAGCTATAAAGTTATGGGGATCTATTGATGATGCACAAAGCAAAATAGCTAGCTGGATTTCTAGTGGTAAGTTTCACTTATCAGATGCATATTTTGACCTTATTCAGAGTTCCAATAGAGTTGAATGGCACAACCTTCTTTGGATCAGTTTTTCTCTCCCTAAACATAGCTATATATTGTGGTCAACACCATTCATCAGAACAGCTTCCATTGATTCTCTGCACCTATCCCTTTTGCTTCTAGTTTTTAAATTAAAACTCTTGTTTTTCTAAACATAAAGAATAAAGATATGGCTCAGAATTGCCCATTTTTAGTTCCAGGGTTTCTCTGCATTTGGAAGTTACCATAGCTAAGCGAATTTTCTTTTTTTATAAATATCCAGTCAAAAGAATATAATTTTATGACTACCCAAGTTCACATTCAAAATAAAAATTTTAAGTAATAGGCCTGAGTATAGAACTTCACAAATCTTTAAATACATATGCAAACTCTAGAAAATAGCTTGATCTCTTGATGTTGCCATTTCATCAAACTATCTCAGAAACAAAAATGATGTCAGGTCCAAACATAATAAGCTTCAAAAGGCCAATGCATATAACCAGTAAAGATCTTGAAATAAAGCAACACATCACAAGCAAGGTACTGAAAAACAGCAACTCAGAGGTCAACCCTTCAAGTGGGCTATGCAGCTATAAAAGACCAAACAAATTTATGAAAGGTGTCAACTGAGATTAACCTTCTAACTAGGTGTCAAATTCTTGGTGATGGTAACCACCAAGAACCTTACTGGATAACCAGCAATACATCTCGAAAAATAAAAAAATTAGTTGTTATATAGAAATTTAAGCCCATGCAAGAAGAAGGCATCTGACCAGTGGCGGATCCAGAAAATTTTCCGAGGCGGACAACAAGCATCTACTTATCTAAAAATAAAAAATAATTTTATTAAATAATGGTACATGATGATAATGCTCTCGGCGGTCGATAAAAAATAATATCAAACTATTATTCCAATTAATCAATCTGTTAGTTACCAATTCTCACAATTTTTTACTTTCACAATGTCCAATTTTTATATAACTCAAATTCTCAAAATAAATAATAATCCATTAGCCATAAATTCCTTTTTCACTTTAATATATTTCAATGTTTAGTAAAATTGAAGAAACTATTTGATAACAAAACTAATTTATTGCATATTCTTAATAATATTTAAAAATTTTGAATTGTATCCTTCAATAGATAAAGCATGTAAATATGTGAGTTAGTAATTAAACAAAACCATATTAACCCTTGCAAAACACAATTTAAAAGAAAATTTTTAACTCGCTTTTGATAATTGTCGAGACGTTGAGAAGGGGGAGAGGACCTGGCGGCGGGCGGCGGGTGGGAGGCTTGGGTGGAACTAGATTTTTAGGGTTTTGGGGAATTTGGAATTGGCTCTCTGGAGCTGCAGACGAGGGGGGTAGGGGAGAGATAATCAAGTTTGAGTTTTAGTTAGTTTTGGGTTTTGGATTTTGGTTTTTAACTATTGGATTGTATTTTTTTACATTGGACTTTTATTCTTTGGGCCTATTTGTTGCTTAGGTGGAATTCAAATGGGCTTCAACAAATCACAACACTGTGTTTTAATTTTGGAATAATGGGTTAAATGTAAATTTGAAAATTTTCAAGGCAAATGTAGATCCGCCCTTGCATCCAACAAAGTTCCCTATCATTGTAAGATAGGAACAAAAGATGATATAATGTAGAAGATGATATAATGAGTGAGAGGATGTTACATCTCACCAAAATAGAAACGAGAAAATTTTATTAGGAAGTAATGGTTTAAAAGTAGACAGACGAACCACACCTAATGTGTTTTGGTTTTTGGAGATCAGGGTCTAGTGAAAGTGAAATATTTTGCCCAGGCATCAATTTAACTCTCTTCGGTCCCTGTAATGAAGACCTTGTGCTTTCTGTTGTCCTTTTAGCTATCCAAAATATTTGGAAAGTGCTACCCATTTAGCAGCAGAAAAAAATAAGAAATACTTTACCTACTCACACTTGACCAACTTATGATCTTGTGGTACACTTGAGGATAGGATAAGAAAGGAGTACAGATGTAGGGAGTTAGAGGTTGCACCTACTAACGATAAAATGAGATAGGATCGATTAAGATAGATCGGTCACATATAGCTGAAACCATTAAATGCACCAGTTAAGAAAAGTGACAAGGGTATGGTTAATGAGCCCAAAAAGACTGTACATGGATCTAAAAGTACTTGGATGTAAGCAATTAAGAAGGATACGAAAATAAGTTAACGAAAGAGATGGCACAAAATAGAACTAAATGCAAGAATAAGATTCATGCAGCTGATGCAAAAATTCACGGCTTGTGGTTGTTATGCTTGACCAACTTGTGTGACTATTCAAGAGAAACAAGCTATGTCACCCGGGTACTTCTCTCATGAAGTTGTACCTGTACACAACACATACCTATACCGAAACTTTATGGACACTCCTCGGATATATGGACATTTTCTCAAACATGTACTCAATTATATGATATATATTTTAATTTAAAACACTTGTCATACAATTATTGGATGTATATTTTACAGTTCATGTCCATTTATTGAAACTCGTTAGACATGGGTCAAGCTTGTTTCAGCTCATAGCTAACTTCAAAGCTATGATTTAAAAGGGTTGAATGAGTGTCTAATTAGAAAATGAGCAAAATCCAATTTATAATAATCAACATAATAAAAGAAAATTAAATATGTGATAGGAATTTTAATTCTAACAACTAATGAATTGGAAAGATAATAATAATTTCATATAAATTATTAATTTTAATATATGTAGTTGTGTCCTCATACCCTACATTTTACAAATTTGTCATGTCTCATATCCACACCCGCATCCAAACTGGTTCCTCTGCTCGCTTCCATGCAACTTCGGAAACAAGTAAGGTTAAGAGGAAATAGATGAAGTATTTTTCAAGACAAATCAAACTCGTTTTTTATATTGTTGTTTGCTTTGGAGATTAGTATCTTTTGAAGATCATGTGATATATGCATCCATGCATGATCGACTACATGCAACTGGGACTACACGTGCTAGTTATCTCCCAAAAAAAAGTTGCATGACTTTTTGAGGGATAAATTGCAAGGAACTAGAACTAAGGGTATAGTTAAATTTTAAAAAGAATTTGGTAGCTGACAATTTCAGCAGACAAGATAGTCATTAACCAAGATAGCCCTTAAAGGAGCATAATGGGGAAATTTTCTTTTATGGAGCCCAAAATGACTAGTGATACAAACAAGGCTCTTTTGTTATATGTGATGCAAAATGCTCGCAACATTTATGTGCGGTCACGCTCACTAGGATGACCTATGCAATCAAAGAGCTCTATGAGGATTGATCTTATACATCTAGGTGCCTATTTGGTTTGCCAATCTTACATAAACAGATAGATTTACAAAAGAACAATTTATCTTTATAAATATTTTCTGCTTCTTTTTAGCGGAGTTGCTAGGCCACTACAGAATACCAAGGAGTCAAAAAAACATGGAGTTAAGTCAAAAATGACCGAATAGTTTTTCATAAGACCGGAATCGAGTTTCAAGGAAACTATTTTACAAACACAAATGAAAGGTCAAAACATTACCATGAAGGATCTAAGAGCCCAAAAAAAACATGTACGATAAAAGTCACTCACCCACAAACCATAAACAGGTACCAATAGTGTTGATTTAGTTCTAAGATGCAGAGATGTATAAAACAATCTGAATAGTAATCGTGTCAAATACATTCATTTTCGTAGCCATTAACTTCCCTACCAAATTATCAATATATTAATACCTTTATGGTCGTGTGAGTCCGTAAAGTAAGACCCACAGTCATGTGCTGGACGGTTGATAAGGCTATTGTACTAATTCCATCACTACGGCTAATCTCTTAGAATACATAAACCCAGTGTTATAAAAAACGCCTTGGGCGGCCGCTTAGGCGG